TAGATTGAGAGTTGTGTGATTAGATTTATGTTTCTTGGAATTTAGATTTGATTAAACATTTGGAAGTGAATTTGTGTCCTCATATTCAATTGAATAGTGGATTCTCTGATCAATTATAGATCTAATTCAATTTTCTTGGACTATTGTTTTGTAACTCTAAATTAGATTAAATGATTTTGATGATTCACAGTAGTGGTCATCTTTAGAGAATTACAATTAGCTTCTCAAGTGTTCTTATCAATTGATTTTCCTTCTCTTCAGAGCTAAACAATAAATCTAGTAAGATATTTGTTATTGATCTGTGTTTAGAGAGATTTGAGCAATAGCTAAATCTATCCTTTTAATTGATCCTACAAGACTTCAAATTATAAGATTGAATAAGGAAGGAAGGATGAATTACTGGAGGAACTGTCATCTCTTATCTAAATCTCTTCCCCATTTTGAACTGTTACTGTCATCTTCTATTTTGAATTCATTTCTTACTTAGATTTTCCATTTTGAGACTTAATCCTTTACCTTGGTAACTTGGTAATTAAAGTGAATTGTTAAGAATTAAATTCCAACTTAAGGCTCCTTGAGAAGAATGACCTAGGTATTGCTTCACTTGTTGTATTTTCCTAGTATCATTTTGATTACCTAACAACAAGGTTCATTAAATGGCACCGTTGCCGCGCGAGCCTTATTTATTAAGGTTCTCAGCAATTCACCGGTCTACCAAGGAATATATATATATATATATATATATAGAAAACCTAAAACCAAATAAAAGGTAGCATTAGTTTTTCTAAGTTACTTCTACATTTATGAGGTTATGACCAGTAAAAAGTATACCGTTTTAGGTAATTATTTGAAATAGCAAGAGACCTCAAAAATGTATACAAAAATGAGATTAAATAGTTGAAAGGTTGTACTAATTTATAAAACTAGTCTCGCAACCAAAAGGCCAGTGGAATGGCTTTAATAAATTAAAAAGCCGATTATGCTGATAAAAGGGTATTTTAGTAAATGAATTTCTATGCAAGGCTTAAAGGAAGTGTTATGGCCTAAGAAAATTTATAGATACTCTCTAGAATTAAAGGGAATTTATGGAGTAGACAGAAGAATTTTTTGAGCTCCGGAAGGCCATAAAGAAAGCTGGAGAAATGTGTGTCAAGTAAATTCGGAGGAAACTTAAGGATTAAGTTTTGATTCAACGGCTAGGATCTAATCTCCCTTCTCCTCCACCACTTTTTTGACACTTGGCATCTTCTAGAAGAATGAGGTAAGGATGATGCAAGAAGATGATGCAATGATGATGTAAAAGTCAACTTAAAATTCTAAAATTGCCCTTACCCTTTCTATTAGTCACCAAGGGCATTTTGGTCCATTCAAGCCAACGTTTTGGCTATAAATACCCCACCTTGGAAGAGCATGTTGGCAGTTATTTGTAGAGGGAAAAATCTGCCAAAATTTAGAGAAAAACGTAGGGGTGAAGGCTAAGAAGAAGGAACGAGGTTCAAGCTTTAAGGTCAAGGTATGTGATAGTTATAGCATCTGATTTGATGCCTATTTCGAATAAGTTACCCTTTGTATCTGATTCTGAAATTTGGCCTAATTAAATTACACTCTGTAAGATTTAAATCCATGGGTAGAACACTTCATTTGGATATGTGTACGATTTATGGTGAGTTTTCAAAATTAGGGTTTGAAATCTGGAAACAGTGTTTAACCTTTGGAAGAGTGTCGAGTTCCGTACAATTCCGGTACTGTTCATTATATAATTGGTTCCTGAGACTATTTTTGCTTTAAATTTAACTTAAGGAGCTTTCAGTGAGACTTGGAACCACTCAATTTGGATTTTTCTAGAATTAATTATGAATTTTCAAAGTTGAGAAAAAATTCTAGAATTCCTGCGTGAACAGTACCTGCAAAGCAAAATTTTCAGATTTGATCTTCTTGAATCTAAGGCCATCTAAAGTGGTCCTAATTGATACCATATCTTAAGGATGGGAAATGATGAGATTTATGTCAGAAAAGTTAGAAAGAAAACCCTAAAATTAAGAGAAAGAGGTTAAATTCAAGAGAGATAGTCTTGAACCTTATGTAATCTCTTGGTCCTAATAGATTGTATGATCAGTCTGACTATGTTTAGGACCTTGGAACATCCAAGAGGACATTCTTTTTTTCATATAAGGATATGATCTGAAAATGTTTAAATTTTTCTCCACATCTAACTATTTATTTTGAATTTTTCCTGATTAGGCCTCTATTGGTGTAACTGCAGAAAAATAAATTCCCTAAAATTAATTCTTGAGCTTTCAAGGCCTAAAACAAATTTTATAAATTCAAACAAATATTTAGATGATTTTTTCATATTTTTTTCAAAATTTTTGAGGCCTCTAACTAATTAAAATAATTATTTTCCTCTAATTTTCTAATATTTTCCCAAAAAACCTCCGTTTACGGAAAATTCCATAAGGGAAAATGACAGCAAAATAATATGTGAATTTCAAAAAGACAAATAAGGCAGATGAATAAGCTAAATGACAAACAGGGCATTGGGTACCAATCTGGAATTTAGATTTTTGGCCAAAAGACTAAATTGCCCTGATGAGTGAGGTAAAGGGAAGCTGAAACTGATGAGAAAATAAACAGAGTAAGCTGTTGAGCAGTACATGAAGAAGGAAAGAGGAATGCTGGAGCAACACATTGAAACTGAAAAGAGGTAAGTTTAAGTCGCTAGTCTTTGGAAATGGTATAATCTTACTCCTCCACATCACTATTTTGTTGGGATTGTTGATTTAGTAGATTTTGGTTGTGGACAAGAGGATTTGTAGTAAGAGAGAGAGTGAACATGTCGCATTACATGATGGTGAGGTTTAGGTGGTTCTTTTTTGTGGCTGCTTTATGGCACAATGGTGGGGACAGGTGTGTTGGAGATGAGGTTTTATACTTTATATTGAGCATTTGGAATGATGTAGCGGAAATCAAAAAAGATGGCAAGCAATTACGTAGGCATGAAGTTTGCGATCAGGTGGTGAACGTTGTTAAAATCAATAATGGAGTTGTGAAACCCTATAATAAAGTTGCGAATAGAAGAAAAGTTTCTCTCTATGTGTGTGTTTTGGGTGTCACGTACATTGATGGAAACTAATTATCAAAGAAGTTAATTTTTTTTATTTAATGTTGTTTGCTGCAGGTTAGCAAGTTGTGATGTCTTGTAACATTGTATCAACATCTTCAAAAAGACTTGTTTGTTATTTTCACGTAGATGGGAAGTTTGTAGAAAATGGCAATGGTGAAGTTAAATACTGTGGTGGGACTATCAGAGTAAGAGTAATAAATGAGGGTAAAAAACTTGAAGATTTGAGGGCAATGATAGGAGAATGGTTCAGCATAGATTGTCATGGCTATGATATTAAATACACTTTGAGTTTTGATGATAGGGTATTAGTAGATCTTATAGATGATGGTGAAGTTGATAATCTAATTGAATATAATGACCGTAATGCATATATTTATATAGCACATAAAGGTAATGACAATGTGGAGGAAGAAATGGGTTATCCAGAAATGTAAGTGACAAATTTTTTTTTGTGGTTATGAAAGTTGATAATTGTTATAATATTGTAGTAAATCTCTTAACAACACTAGTAATTATACATGTAAGATCTCAAAAATGTTAGGACTGTCACAACAGAATGATGAGCCTACATTAGAGGGAAATGCTTTGGAAAGTACAAGTTATGGAGGAAGTGAAAGACCTAATATAAGCCTGCCATATGGAGTAGCGAGTGCACCAACACCTTTGCTGGAGATGAATTCTTTGAAATGGAAGGAATTGTTGTTAGGACGGAACCATACTTTTGCAAATGCAGAAGATTTCAAGAAGAAAGTATATAAGTTTAGTATTGTGAACAAGTTTGAGTACAAATATGTGAAAAATTGTAGGGAAAATATGTATGTGAAATGTAATGTTGAAGGTTGTCCATGGAGGATAAGTGCAAGAGTAGGTAGAAAGAGTACTCCCTTTTTACATGTGGCAACATTCATAAATGAGCATGTTCATAATGCTCAAAACAATCTTCGTGTGGAACATAGTGGTTCAACTAGCTTGACATCATCAATCATAATTGATGAGGTAAATGATCACATAGACAGGCGTTCAAATGATATAAGAAAGAGTTTGGAAAGAGATTATAGTGTGAAGTTGACATATAAACAAGCATATAGGGCAAAGCAAAAAGCGTTAGAGGACATACATGGTAGGCCTAACCAGTCTTATATGCTTATTCCATGGATATGTGAATAGTTGAAGGAAACAGATAACAAAATTGTGGCGAAATGGGTGGGTAATACTAATAACACATTTGAGCGTGCATTCATAGCATATGGGTGTTGTATAGAAGGCTTTATAGCTAGTGCTAGATAGTACTATACATTGATGGATGTCATTTAAGTGGACCGTATAAGGGGACGTTACTGTCAGCCTCTGCTTATGATGCTGACAATGAATTGTTACCTTTTGCGATTGCTATTGTAAAGGGAGAGACACTTGAGGATTGGACATGGTTCTTATACATGATTAAGGAGATAGCTGGGTCGATAGAATTGATAATTGTGTCAGATCGACACAATGCAATAATAGGTGTTGTGCAAGAAATATTTGGTGGTGAGAGGCATGCATACTGTTATAGACATGTTAAGGAAAACTTCAGTGCACCAATGATTAATTAAATAGAGGAAAGAGAAAGACTAGTGGGAAAGCAAGGGAGGAGGGACTACAATACCTAGATGTCATTGCATATGCAAAGCTTGATACCAAGTTTGATGGTACAATAGATAACATGAGAAGGTTCAATCCACAATTATTTGAGTGGCTTCTTAATCATGGTGATGTTGAAAGGTAGGCCTTAAGTAAATTCCATTTAAATGATGGGATAACATCAGAACAAACCTTGCTGAGTCATTCAATGTTTGGATATTGAAAGAGAGACGATATAATGTTGCCCAACTTATACATGAGCATCGTGAGAAAAGTGGCAAAGAAGATGTATGCAACAAGCATAGCAATGAGTAATTGGAAAAATGGTGTAGGCCCAAAAATAGATGCAAAATTGGTGGACAATGTCGCTAGATCAGCACGCATGTTGAGTGTACCTTATGGAGGACGTAGGGTGTGTGTCTATACAGCAAAAGGAGATGTACATGTTGATCTTGGTTTAGGCGAATGCAGCTGTGCAGCTTGGCAAATGTCAGGCATTCCATGTCCCCATGCCTGTGCAGTTATTAAGGCTGTGAATTGCAATGTGTATGAATTTGTTGACGAATGCTACAAGATTACATCACAGCAAAAGATTTATGGGAGGACTATGATTCCAGTGGCAACAGTAGACATGCCAAATCCTAACAACTACTGGGTGGAAAATATAGCAAGTCAAGTGTTCTTGGCACCGCCTTTGACTAGTCGACCACCAGGAAGGCCTAAAATAAAACGACGAGAGTCACAGTTCCAAAATAGGTGATCTACTATTATAACACATGCTAACAAGTTGGGCACACAGGAAGAACATGCAAGAATCCAAACCCAAGTTGAAGTTAGATGTCAATAAATATGGTGATTTTTTGGTGTAAATAGAATGACTTTTGAACCCTTCTTAACTTTTTTGGTAGATGGGTTAGTAGATACGGTATCCCATTTACATATGATTTAAATGAATGGGATATGTTTTATGAGTTGAATGACAAGAAAACATTAAGTGCTGGTTTAATCTTAATGTTAACTTGTCATTTGAACATATGTAAAGTAGCTACTATCATAGGCCTGCTGGTTTTTGGTAAATATTGTTGCATGAATGGTACATTCCATTGCACATGTAGTTAGTATGAAAGATAATGATTCAATGTTTACCGTGATGTATTTAAGGTGCAGTCATTTGAATATATATAATGTATCTACTATCATATGGCTGCTGGTTTTTGGTAAATACTGTTGTGTGAATGGTACATTCCATTGCACATGTAGTTAGTAATGAAAGATAATGGTTCAATGTTTACCGTCATGTACTTGAGGTGCAATCATTTGAATATATGTAATGTATCTGCTGTCATATAGTTGCTGGTTTTTGGTAAATACTGTATCGTTAATGGTGTATTCCATGACACAAAGTAGTCAATATCACTATAAAATTTGTAAATACCACTATGTGTTTTGTAAAATTCAGCGTGGAATTGTATTGTTCATGGCAGAAAATCTGCCCAGTCTGCCAAAAGGTTGTAAAACCCAATATACAAGTAGTAAATCGCACTATGAAAGTTGTAAATCCCACTATGTATTTTGTGAAATTCAGCGTGGAATTGTATGGTTTCTGAAAGAAAGGTTGGCCAGAGAAAAACAATAGGTTGTAAAACTCATTAAAGAAGTTGTAACACTCACTGTGAAAGTTGTTAATCTCACTATGTGTTTTGCAAAATTCAGCGTCAAATTGTATGGTTTCTGAAAGAAAGGTTGCCCAAAGAAAAACAGAAGGTTGCAAAACCCATTGAAGAAGTTGTAACACTTACTGTGAAAGTTGTTAATTCCACCATGTGTTTTACAAAATTCAACATCGAATTGTATTGTTTTAAAACCAAAGTTGCACAGCCCAAAAAACATAAGGTTGCAAAATCCACTGAACAAGTAGTAAATCGCACTGTGAAAGTTGTAAATCTTGCTATGTGTTTTGTGAAATTCAGCATGGAATTGTATGGTTTCTGAAAGGTTGCCCAAAGAAAAACAAAAGGTTGCAAAACCCATTAAAGAAGTTGTAACACTTATTGTGAAAGTTGTTAATCCCACTATGTGTTTTGCAAAATCCAGCGTCGAATTGTATCGTTTTAAAACCAAAGTTGCCCAGCCCGAAAAACATAAGGTTGCAAAACCCACTGAACAAGTAGTAAATTGCATTGTGAAAGTTGTAAATCCCACTATGTGTTTTATGAAATTCGGCGTGGAATTGTATGGTTTTTGAAAGAAAGGTTGTCCAGAGAAAAACAAAAGGTTGGAAAACCCATTAAAGAAGTTGTAACACTCAATGTGAAAGTTGTTAATCCCACTATGTGTTTTGCAAAATTTAGCGTCAAATTGTATTGTTTTAAAACCAAAGTTGCCTAGCCCAAAAAACAGAAGATTGCAAAACCCACTGAACAAGTAGTAACACTCACTGTCAAAGTTGTTATTTCCAGAACGTGTTTTGTAAAACTTTGGTATTTGTGTTTTTGTAGAGAAAAGTTGGCCTGCGTCTCAAAACAGGTTGTCAAACCCCTTGAAGAAGTGGTCAAATTCACTTCACGAGTTGTAAATCTCATTACACGTGTAGTAACATTATGGGAAAATGGTTTAATATTACTTGAAAATCAGGCACATTTATATTCCATGAAAACAGTTTGCAAATCCCCTTACATATATAACTTTAACTTAAACATCATTAAACTTAGACAACACAATTTACTGCTGTGACGCACGCTGCTTTTTCCTCATTGTGGGTTCTGTAGATGACAACAATTTCAGTGCTTCTTCACACCTTGAATTGAGCTCATGATTAACAAGCCACCACATTAGGTTTCGTCAGAAATCAGCAACATGTTCTTCACTGTAGTCAAGCATCACATCGGGCTCCCATTTGCTCAACCATATTAAAACATGAACGCCACAGTCTCGCCTGCACATGGCAACAATGTCTATGAGTGAAACACAAAATAGCATTCATACATTATTACATCAACAAGTAGTACCACTCATAGATTGTTTTGTTGAGGATCAGGAGCCCATATAATGTCACTCGTTTTCTTCTTTCTAATGGTATTGGGCTTTACTATCTCAATCATGTCATAAAATCGATCTCTCTACACAACACATACTTGCATTTGTAAATAAATTGGTAAACAAATAGTATCTTACATAAGAAGAGTAACAATATCTTTACACATCCGATGACCACAGTCATCATATCATCATCAGCTATACCTTTCTTCTTACTCTTCTTAGCAATAAAACTTGGCTTCATTGAATTCAGCACATAGAAATTCATTGTTTTAGGCTCAAGCACAAGACAAAACCAGTGAGCACCAACAAGTGTAGGTTCAAATATCAAGTCATAGTCTCCTATATTGTAACCGACATATTCAGGCAAAAATTGCTTTTCTCATTTTCTAGCATCCCACCGAGATGGGTTCGCAGCCATTATTGCCTACAGCATCAAATGACTAGTCATGTACCAATAGTAGTTTTGTAAACATCTTAGCAACCTTACCATAAAATCAGCATCAAATATGTGTCGCTTCACTTCTCCTTCGCTCTTCATATCAGCCAGTAAAGTCTTGCACACAACTGACTTGAGCTGTTTGCAAGTAAATTTTAGTTTTTTCCATAGGTATACATGAGCATCAAATATAAAAGTTATAGTACTCAGCTCAAGATCACAATACTAACTTACCCGGTTACCTATTTTCTCAATTCCTCCAAGTGTCCTTAGCTGATCTCGAGTGATATCCTTATCAAATATTTTAACTAAAGGCCAAAAAATGTGTTCCCAGTATCATTATGTGTGTAGTTAATCAGTAAACAACCAATAAATAATATCATTCACAGTCATGCGAATAGTAATTACTTGTCACCCTCCTGACTCGAACACATGAGGGATATTATGTTAAAAAACTTGTCCTTTTCCTCTATATTCCTATTTTTCCTCTTAACAGGCCTTGTCAAAATCCATGGAGAATTTATGGCTAACTTCACCTCCCTCTGTGATCTCTTGGGCTGTGCATTCTTGTCCATGGTGGAAACATCAGGGGAATCCATATTTCCTACTTGTATTCCTTCTTCCTCAACATCAATCATGTCGACCTCGTCTGAGTCATCTCCACGATGAGGTACGTGACCTGAGTCCTATCCATCATCATCACCTCCCTCATTATCATCATCAGCTTCATCTTCGCTTATATTCATCTCCAACTTCACTAGGGCCCTCATCTCCCACAATACGATTTTCCTCCATTGTTATCTGCACCTTATATAGCTCGTCCTCTGCTACACTAACAAGTCTCTTGTAGCTTAAATCAATTATAGCCATCAACTTTTGATGTAAGCTCTACAACTCCTGCATCACATTATTAATAAAAGTCAAACACTTTTTTTTGTTAATGCCATTGAAATTACCAAGCAAAGCACACATCGGGTGTAAGTTAGTGACACTTCTCCTTGTTCCCTCCTCATTCCCAACCCTAATTTTAGAGCCCTTCTGATATAAGGTACGGATACGGATCGGCTAGAAACAAGTTAGGAAACTAGACGAACGATCGAAGGTAGGACCTTAAGAGAACTTGTCTCTTACAACCCTAGTCATGGAGACACCACAAGGATGATCAATCCTTGATACAATCGAGTATTCCTACGAGAATATGAGGCGGCAAGCAAAGCTCACTCAAGAGAAATAAAATTCTCTAAAATTCATTCATTCAAATCTGATCCCCAATTACAAAAAACGTAGCCTTACATAGGCAGCAAAAGAACAATCTAGAATAAAAAAACCCCAGGTCATAAATGCCATAAATGTGCTTTAATGATGATTGACTATCTTGGTTGGCACCAATTAAGGCTAAGAAAATAGGAAATTACCTTTTCTTGAAGAAAAAGGCTGCTACCTAAAATATTCTTATGCAATCTTTGACCAAAAGGCCTTATTTAATGCAAATAAAAATGGAAACTTAAAAAAAAATGAAATTAAGAGAGTGACACATGTCTTGGCTTTAGTAAAACGCACAGCTGAAGGCAAGGAAGTTTCACATGTCAAAATACAACATTACAAGCCTTCAAATTGTGGAGAATGAGGTGAGAAGGCGGGGGAAAAATTTAAAAAGAGAACTGGAAGTCCAGAAGCTTAAAAAAAAAAAACGGATCTCATACTGAATTCCAGTATTCTCATTCATTCTCTTCTTTTCTTCACTTCTCCAGATTCTCTCAACTTGCAGATTCATCTTCTTCTCTTCTCTTGCATTTTGCCATGGAGATTCAGAGGAGATTTGGCCAGATTTCCTCCATCAACATGAGCAACTGAGCCATTGATTCCTGAGGAGCTGTGATGGATCCAGAGCACTGATTGTCAAGGAGATTTCGTTTTTCTTGAGTTTGTATTTGTGTTTCAGATTTGGATCTTGTTATAAATCTTTGTTTGAAATTCAGATATATAACTCATATTAGATTTCATTAGGTCATGCTACTTAGTGGTGGAGATATTAGAGTTTCGTCAAGCTTATGGTAGGGCCTAGGCTAAGAGAGAAGAGTGAAATGACCCTGTAATGGAATAGTGAGGAGAGTGAAACACTTGCCGAGAGAATACTTCCACTTTTCCCTGTGCAATTTGCTGAATTAAGATCATTTCCTAGTCTTTTTATTGACAATTTGATTCCTTCCTATGCTGGTTTTTTCTCTTGAGTAGTGGGTTGAGATGAAGAATCATAATCGGATACTATTTCAATTCATAGATGG